ACCCTAAACCTAACCCTAAACCTAACCCTTAACCTAACCCTAACCCTAACGTGAATCGGCTTGCTTTTATTTAATTTTTATTTCAATGTAATTTTTTTTTAATTTTTTTCGTCGCGCTGTGATGACGTCACGTACGCGCTTTCGTCGAGCGCGCTTTTGTCTACCGCGGTTTTGTGGTGGAACCGGTGTCAGCTAGGTACTTCAGTTCTCTAGATGCCTACTCTGAAGTTAAACAGAGCATACTCCCAGCAAAATCTATTTGCAAACTACACCAATTAGCCCAAAAGGAGTGGGGGGCTTTGAATCTGGTAGCTGGCATGCATTTTCTGGTGAGTTAATCATGCCACATAAGTTTGTGGGGGGAGACATCATGAGGAAAAAGTTTCATCTAGTAAGCTTCACAGTAGAATGAACTTGTAAGGTCGCTGTCCTGTTGTAAGTCACAGCCTTTTTGGTTTATGCAGTTTTGATAAGTAAACCAGTCAGCTGCATATAGACATCCCTGTTCAGCTTTAACAAACTGATCACCAATATTTCCATCTTTTCCTGAAAAGCAGGCTAGAGAGAGCCTTCGCAAAACCACAGCACCAAACTGATAGGTCAGCTTCCTTCGGATTTTAGTTATTTCTCCTGTTCTCCCATAATTCCGCAGGGCTCTTGCCATTTTCTGATAGGTCATGACTTTCCTATTTCCTTTGCGTTCCCCCCACTGTTCTGCCAATTTCTCCTTGTTTTTGGAAATAAACTGGAAGACACCGTTGGCTTTATCGATCCACTGGATACAGTTTGCCATCTCCGGATTATGAAGAGACTCAAGAATATACTCAAACAGTCGTAATCTTTTCCGACCTGCCCAGAAGCAAAACAACAAGACTATAAATGGAATGGGTGCATGATGCAATTTATTTTGGAATTTTAAAATGAATTAAATGAAACCTTAGCACAATCCAATATGAAAATTGAGATTGAGCAATTGGTTGAAGTTACTGTAAGTTATATGCATCACTGTACCACAGCTGATATATGATGCTAAGCCCTAATGTGCTTTATTTATTTCTAATATAACATGTAAATTTAGTCACCAATAAACCATGACTTTGAATTGTATACACCTAAGACTATTATAGCTTGCTCAATAAACAATAAGTTAAACAATTGACAGTTTAATACAAGTAATAAATTCATTCAGCAAGGCTATTATAGGAGTATATGATTAAAAGTAAAAAAAAAATGGGTTCTCAAATGTGTGCTTTATTTGAGATACACTCTTGTTTTAAATTGGTTAAAAGCACTTTGTACTGTTAGGAATGTCACGTTTCCTTCTCAGTTCCAAAGTTCCCAAAACTCCCTGGAAGACAAAATAATTGTTAATCTGGCCCAATTGTCCACTGATGTAAACTGGAAACCTCTAAATACAGATGTCCTAGAGTTCCCATTGTTGGATATTCTAGAGCAGTGGTAGTCAACCTGGTCCCTACCGCCCACTAGTGGGAGTTCCAGCTTTCATGGTGGGCGGTGAGGGTTTGCTGTAACTCTGCTTTATAAATTTTATAAAGTAAAGTTACTTCCCTACTTTATAAATCACCATTACAGTGGAACTGGTGGGTGGTTAGAAAATTTTAATACTACCAGAAAAACAAAAGTGGGCGGTAGGTATAAAAAGGTTGACTACCCCTGATCTAAACCATAATAGCCTAAGGTGACCAGATGTCCCGCTTTTGGCGGGACAGTCATGATTTTTTACAATTTGTCCCACGTCCCATGGCGTTTTTAAAAAGTCCCCATTTTTTTAAAGCATGCACGACAAGTTAGTATCTCAGTTTCACTCCAAAGATTTTGAGAAATCCACTGGTG